TTTAAAACATCTTTTACAATAATTGTATATCTAATATTCAGATTAAAAAAAAACCTAATATTTGTATTGTACTCCACCGCCATTTCGTGCGACTGAAAATAATAAAAATTAGTTTTTTCCAGAAATGTTGCTATATCTTAAAAACTAACAACTTTAGGTGTAGGACATACTTAATAAAAGTTGAAATGGATTGATATGTGAATAAAATAGAATAAAATACAGGGTGTTCCATTTGAAAAATTTTAGAAAATCAAGTTTGAACTTTCTTAAAATGATCGTATTATAAAAAATGCCCTGTATAAAATATCGATATTAACAAATATAGGAATCTTTGCCTAACATTTGCTTATAACTCTGTCAAATATTTTTGCTCCAATAAGTGTTAGTAGTTGAAAGTTCATACAACTTCTTCGAGGTCATGTTTTTTCCCAAATTCGAAGAATTTTCTACATAACTTGCCAACCCCGCACTAAAATGTTGAACTGTTTATATTGCCATACATATATAGTATTTTCTCAGAAATCCATATGTTTAAAAATATAGAGGGTGTTCCATTTAAAAAATGTAATATTTGGCGTGTCTCGTTTTTACTCATCGCCCAAATTAATTTTGTCCTTTAGGTTTTTGGATTCTGTACAACCTTTATATAAACTTTTTTTCTGTATTACGAATAAAAAGCGAGTTATTTTACTTTCTTACACTAATGGCCCATCCTGTATGAGTTACATTTTTTAAATCGATTTTTATATTTTGTATTTATTTCTGTATTTGCTTGTGTATATGTATTTTGTTAATAAATGAATAAATAAATCGTAAACGGTACGGAAGTAGACAGTTTCCTGGTGGTACAGAACAGGGAATTAAATTTGGTAAGTGATACCAGGATACGTTGCATTAAAATGATTTTTCCTTTAAACAAGGACTGATGGAGTGTATGAAACAAACGACAAATGGGGTATTTAATAGGCTATAATCGGGTATAAGTACAATGCACCAGTAGAAAAAAGGGAAATAAAGACAGTAAGCAGACATCTAAAAGGACCCAATTAAGTTATACAAGTATATTAAGAATTACAATAATTATGTAAGTAAATTTACTGACGTGTATAGGTATTTGTGCACTTTTTAATGATTTGAGGTAATTTATTAGAAATAGATATTACTGCATCAAAAATATTTTATTTAGTAGATACTTACACTAATTTCATTTATTAAGTTTCTTAGTAGTAGTTAATTTAATAATTTTATAAAAAAGTGATTTCTGTAAAAATAACTCATTTTCCCGAAATTTTAGATTTGCATGTAATAATTTTATGGAGCAACAGGTTTTCCCTTATTCCCTTTAATACGTCGAATGTAATTTTTGTCAACATCGAAAATAGCCCGATTTTATTTAATAATTTACCTTCCTCACGTTCTCTTGTAGTGAACAATATTAACACCTACATATGTAATGCTGGGAAAAACCACTTAGTAGGTATTAAATATTACTCTCAAGACGGATATATCAGTTCATAACTATCCAGGGTCGTAGATACCGAACAATATTTTCTGTCAAACTTCCTTTAATTATATGTTTATGTACAAGGCTCTTATCTACAGAATATTAAATTTGATTTCAACACCTTCCATGTCGATAGCTATTTGAAATATAAGGAAAAATATTTTGGTTAAATATAGCATAAGATTTTAACGTAGATAAAATTTACTTGATATTTTATTTAAATATGTTTTTCGGTTTTATTCATATCTTTAATAGTTATATATAACGGCTCTATTGAAATAGGATAATCCACGTATATATTATCTATATATATATATTACTTGTTCAAAATAAGAAAGAAATAATTTTTAGTTGATACAGGACGTTTCGATAAGTTGGTACGGTTTTCAGACGTTTCTAGGCGATTGAGCTTTATCTAATCAAATGTTGCTTCTTTTCATTGACAAAGTTAACCAAAATCGAAATCTACTAAACTAATGCAAAAAATTATAGGGTCAAAAGAATTTCCGAAATTTTTCTGTGATTTTTGGCAGTCTGTATTTAGGTGAAAAAAGGTCGTATCGGAAATTAAAAAAAAAGCATTTTGAAGCTCTAAGATTCTAGTTTTTAGATTTTTCTGTCGAATTTTTTTAGGAGCTACGGTTATCATGCAATTCTAAGAAATAGTGTAACAAAAAAATCCACGGACTGGAAAATTTTTTTTCAGCTAAGCCATTGCATAGACCAGATAATTTGTTTATTCAGCTTCAGTTTCCTTTTTTTTATTTCGATATGAATTTTTCATCGAAATATCGGATCTTTAATGGAAAAGGATCCTTTTGTCTTCAATGGTCGATATCTCGGCGACAAATAGTCCTACAAAAAAAGTAGTACAAAGTATTGAAGGTCACTTTCGAAAACTGGAATAGATTTCCTATAACATGCTGCCGCAATTTTTCGGAAAAAAAATGTTTTCATCTTTTACACATATTTTAAAAAACAGGAAAAAAGGCTAATTTATGGTTCTTTAGAAATCTTGTGAAGTTTTATCTCGATCTAGGAAACCGTTTCTTCGTTCAAATTTTTTAAAAAAATGAAAGGGTCACGTTTTTTGAGCTTAAACACTTCATAATTATGATTAAAATGGAAAAAAAATATTTGAGGTTTTCCGTTAGCCGTCAATTTTCTAAAAAACCATAAATTACCTTTTTTCCTGTTTTTTTAAATTCGTGTAAAAGATGAAAAAAATTGTTTCTCGAAAAGTAGCATGTTATAGGACATTTATTCAAGTTTTTGAAACTGCTCTTCAATTCTTTGTAAGACCATTTGTCGTCGAGATATCGCGGTGATTGAAGACAAAAGGATCCTTTTCCATTAAAAATCCGATATTTCGATGAAAAATGGTCGTATCGAAATTTAAAAAGAAGGAAATTGAAACTGAATAAACAAGCTATCTGTTCTATACAATGACTTAGCTGAAAAAAATGTTTCCAAGTCCGTGGAAGCAGAAAAAACGGAAAAATTACAAAAATTTTTTGTCGCGCTATTTCTTAAAATTGCATGATACCGTAGCTCCTAAAAAATTTTTACCGAAAGATCTAAAAACTAAAACTAGAATCTTAGAGCTTCATTGATCACCTAAATACAGTCTATAAAAAATCACGGAAATATTTCGAAAATTCTTTTAACCCTTTAATTTTTTGCGTTAGTTTAGTAGGAGGCGAACCATTACTAATTGAAAGTTATAAAACCCAATTGTTCTAAGATACTTTTAAATAATAACACTATGTAACTAGAAGTGTGCAGTTTTTTTAATGCTATGTATTTAGCAATACAGTATACAGTATACGCCCAACAACAAGTTTGTAGTGGTTCACGGAGCTATCTTTAAATAAAACACGCAAGTCAAACTAAATTGGCATTGCCGATATTCATTTAAATAGGGATTAAGAAGAAACAACTGATCTAAGTTGCCAAAAATGCAAAAGTACCGTCCGAAAATATTTCGATAATACAATAGCTATTTTTAGAATCTTATCTTTAACATTAAATAAATATTTGAAATATTTTTATTCCTAAGTTAATTTGCATCATATTTCAAATCTTCCAGTTTCACATGTAGTGAGGTAAAATGTTAGTTTTATCTGCAAAAATGTATCCAAAAAGTTCAGATCATATTCATACCGCAAATAAAAAGCGCATTCTACTGGCCAGAATTTCAATTTTTTACCTCCTTATTCCCATTGAGCTGTGTTCCAGTCTTATTGAAACATCCTGTATATTTAAGATACAAGATGTATTGTAAGATTTATAAAATTAAATTAAAAACAATACTTATAGAACTAAAACGATTTCATTGCAATTTAAAAGGTTATAGAGGGTTATTCTTAACAAGAAACATAAAACAAAGTTGCAAATAACTGACAAATGATTTCTTTTCTTTCTTTCTAATTTATCTATGCCAAACACTCAATTACTTTGAGGGTTGAAAGAATTCCTTTAGACCGCAATGTTATCTAGAAATATGAAAACATTTTGACGAAATTAAACCCTTTTCTGCACCTCACATAATAAACAGCGATTTAAAATATGTTAAATGGCACATCCTGTATATGTATTCTATATTTTAAACAGTCTAAATATGATGCTTTTGTTAAAATTTCGATTATTATGTTAATATTATACCATATACGTATGTATATTGATTTTTTGACCGGTGTATAATTTTGTTTGGCAAAAAATAAATAATTATGTAAATAACAATAAATAACTAAATAATAAATTTAAGGAAATCTTATATTTCAGATGATATTTACCATATAAGTATCAATATTACATATTCATTAGATAGCAGCAAGCTAGTTAGCAAATATTAAGCTGTTTGCTAAATAAATTAAATATATTTATGTTTATGAAAAAAAGTTAGTTTCTAGATATTTATCTTTATTTCATTTAATAATTCATAAACCGGAGTGGATGAGCCACCTTGTAAAGTAAAACATATAATACAATCTAAAACAATGAAGGATAGGATCGGTGTTTATCTTCAGTGAACCACTCTGTATGAACTAATTTATCTACATTTCCCATTTGCGTATAAAATGTCACTCAGTATGAGGACATTTTATAAACAAATCAATTTTGGTTACGTCTTTTGTATAATGACACCCTCAGGCTGATACTTTGTGCTAACGTATGTACTTTGTGGAGGATGTGAACAGGAAATGAACAACACTTACTAATATGTTTCAGAAAATAGACCGATGAAGCGAATGCGTTTTTCATGAAATTGTTTTTGTGTCTCTGCACAGAAAACAACGTATCATTTTAACAATACCTTATCTTTGTATCAATTGGTCTTATCAGTAAAATAGTTCTAGGTGAAGGTACTATAAAACAATGCGACGAACTGTATTAATTAACGTGTACAATGTTTTTGCCTACCATTGTACTTTTGAATGTATTTGTAAACTATAGCATTTGTTTAAAGAAAATGAGAGAGTTGCAATAGACTTACCGGTACAGGCGTCGTACACAGGTGTAGCTGAGCTGGTGAAGAAGGTAGAAGTAAAGTTATCGGGAGTTGTAGAAGTAAAGTTATCGGGAGTTGTAGAAATAAAATTGTCCGGAGTTGCAGAAGTGAAATTATTGGAAGTCGTAGAAGTAAAATTGTTGGTAGTAGTGGAATTTTGCGCTGAAGTAATCAAAATTTTTGAATCGATCAGAATACACATCACTGCACCAAACAACACTCTCATAATTGTACCGTCGATGTCTCCCCTATTATTACATCTGCGGACTAAAAAACAAACGTTGTGCGACAGGAAGCTTTTTATCAAATGGATTTTGTTGTACGCAAAACGTTCATACAGCGGCTGCTAACCACTTACCGCACAAAATTACTAATAAATAAAGTGCACGTTTTCTATATTCTCACCGATTCAGCGAAACACTAAGTATACTCGGTGCTGTAATGAGTTAGCTGATAAACTTTATCAAGATTATCTAGAGTACATAATGCTGGGATGTAGAGGCTCTCTTAAGTCCATGTTGTTTTTTGTCTTTCGGTACACATTTTGGATGGCTGGGCTGGTGACCGAGTGGAGAATGGGGATGGGATGCGACAAGCGAAGCCGATGCCACCGAGTCTAAGATAAAGGCCCCCTTAGAGATATGTGTTCTATTTATAGGCCACATTTGTTTTAAGTTTACGGACATTTTGGGAAATAGTGCAATATAATTAATAGCAGAGCCCGGGTTCTGTGGAACAGCTGTTCGTAACTAAGATGCTTCTGGGATGGCAAAGCTCTGAGATGACACAAATTTAGATAAATGAATATCTCAAATCACTATGTTTAATTATAATTTTGTTTATATTATTTCCTATAGAATAAATATTTTTTTTACATTATCTAATTTGTCAAACAAAATATGTGCAATAAATAAATTTCCTTTTATATCAATAAGTACCTATACAGGGTGTTTGTAAATAAGTGCGAAATATTTTAGGGGGTGGTTGCCGAAGTTATTTTGTGAAAAAAGGTCATATAAACGTAGGTCGAAATATTTTTCGTTTCCGAGATGTTTAAATTTTAATTTTTTATTTATTTTTATAAATTATTTCACTGTCACTTGTGTGTTGTTATAAGTGAACTCCACTGTATTTTCCTAAAATTGCGTTCGTTGATATATACAGGGTGTCTTATAATTAGTGTCCAATAATTTACCACTTGATTATATTGCCAAAAATAAGAATATTTTTTCATATAAACATTGGTCAAGAAATGCTTCCTAAGGGAGCTACGCTACGCCCCCTAAATAGTGCCTCAAGAAATTAATTTTTTTTAAATATTTCTGAAATGGGTTTGAAGGAAAATTATGAACTTTGACACCCTGAACGCTCATTAATAGTCGAAATAAATCATCATAAAATTTTTCAAAAAATTTGATCAGGGGCGTCTTAATTGGGGGTCGTCAGCTAAAATTTGCTTTTCGAAATTTTCAAATTCAGAGACCAACATATGATAGACCATCATTTCCTCTACAAAAAAAGGTACTTTTTATTTCTTTCGATAAAATACTCTATTTCCAAAAAAAACGGATTTAAACCGATTTTTCTCGAAAACGCATTACTTTTTCGATATAAAACAACTTACCATCTTTAATAGAAAACTCAGATCTATCAAATTTTACTGTTTAAATTTTAAAATAGGAACAACTTTTCACGTTGTTTAATTACAAATGTATAATGATATGATGACATCAAAATTCATACATGTACCTATTTTGGCTACAGGAAATAAGGGTCTATCATATGTTGGCATCTGAATTTGAAAATTTCGACAAGCAAAAAAATTGGGACAAATTTTAGCTGACGACTCCCCCACCAATTGAGACACCCCTGACTAAAATGTTTGAAACATTTTATAATGATCTACTTCGATTTTTAATGAGCGGTCATGATGTCAAAATTCATAATTTTCCTTCAACCCATTTCGGAAATAGGTATTTAAAAAATAATAAATTTTTTGAGGCTCCATTTACGGGAGCGCAGCTCCCTTAGGAAGCATTTCTCGAACCATGTTTATATGAAAAAATCAACCCCACGCACAACTTTTTAAGTGAATCATTCTTATTATTATATTAACAATTTTATATTCGAAATCTAAAAAGACGACGTAATTCTGACATTTTGGCTTAACCTACTGTATTTTTTTTAAATTATGCCAAAGATTACTTTCGCTTGAAATACTGTAAATAAATTAGTGTTAATTAAATCTTTTCGACAATTAATTCAGAAAATATTAAATAAATAAGTTGTAAATTAACTGGAATAATTGAACATAATATATGAAATATATCCTTACAGAAACAGGTATGGTGGTGGAGTGATTTAGGAGTAACATCGTGTGGATAATTTTGCGCAGCCTTAGGGTTTATTAAATATAAAATATTTCATTTTGGTTAATTTTCTTAAATTATAATATTAAAGAAATGAAACCTATAAATTGAAACTTATGGGTGAAAGCGTTTACCCTTGATATCTTTAAAGTGCCCCAATAATAATAAATTAATAATTTTTTAATTACCATTTGTATAGATACCCAAGTATTTTTATTTCAAGAAAGATATGTCTGTAGATTATTACCCACTATAGTGGCTGTTTATAATTATAATTGTAGACTGTTGCTGTAAATTTTGGAAATGTTCAAATATTTGGCTGTTAATATAATACTTATTATTTAGATAAAATCATTATGTTTATTATTATCATATTTATTAAGTGTTTATATACATGACTCACTGATTGTATCTCGTTTTTATTTCAAAATTCTAGATAAAATTTTCATTGTTAAAAACGCTTCTCCATTTATTTTCACATATTTGGATAAAATTCTTCCTTCACACATGGGCGTAGCTAGGGAGGTCAGGGGTGTGCTCGGCCCCCCTCCCCCCAGAAAAAGTACATCCAATAATATCAACTTTTTCATATCGGTATGTCGCTGACTGTCACCGCTTTTTTTTTAGAACCAAAAAAAAGTGCTTAGCTTTTGATATATTATATTGTTAAGTCATTGATTGCTTTTTTGAGGCCTCCATAGTTTGCAGCAGACCTGGGCACTCCAAGCAAAAATCCTAGCTTCGTCCATGCCTTTACATTAGAGATATAAAGTTTTGTGGATCCATCTCTTATAAGATATGGCCAAAAAAATTGTTAGATGTAAGGGCAGAAACGAAATAAAATTGAAAATGGAGAGATATTAACAAAGACAATAACAGAAAACATGAGCGTATATAAAAATATAGATAGATAATCCAAATCGGATGCCGAGAAGGGTAAATGCAAAGGAATAAGGAAAGGAATTATGAATTGCGGCTTATCATTTCATTCTATCATTATTATTTATTTTATTGACTTTTGTCTGTGTAGTTTTTTTATACTTTTGATAAAATCATGACATTATCAGCTCCCGAGCTATAAATTATAGTTTATGATTTTTATGCAATTTAAATAAAGAAAACAATGTTATCTTATTTTTTTATTCTCAATGCATACAAGGTATGTAAGTAAACTTATAAAAAAAATTAATACAATCTCTGTGGAGGTCCCATTGACGATTTTACATGAAGAGACCTGACGTTCTGCCAATGTTTCTTCAAAAGGGAAACCAAAAAGTTTACCGCAAGATGAACATTTTGGACTAACTCATCAGAAGTCATGTCTACATGACCCACGGCAACAGAAAGACACAACACCTATAAAAAAACATAAAATGTGATTTCAATCCTATATTAATTTTTTTCTTAAAAAATTCCGATATAGCCATCAAAAATTTGCTCCAAGTGAAAAACAAGAAAAAAAATGTTTTCTCATAATTATGCCAATATTAAATATGTAAGTGCATGGGCAATTTTTGGTTTAGGAGAAAATGTATTTATTGTTAAAATTCGAAAAAATACAAATTTGAAATTTTTTATAAAATTCTAATGGCATTAATTTTTTTTTATATAATAGGATCAGAGCATTTTTCGCTTTACTAAATTGTGATATTTTTCTATAAATTTAATACATACCTTCTTCATCTGGAACTTGATTGTAGCTTTAACCTCGTCAATCTTCTGTGTCATAGATTCCTGGTGAGAGAGGAGACCAGGGAACTTTCCAGCTTTGTTAAGACCAGGACCCAAAAGACGGGGAATCTGTTTGATAAGAGCTTCGGATGCAAGGAAGGCATCATATTTCTTGGCGAGTTTCTTAACAAGTTTCTTATTCTTGTTCAACTTCTTTAAAGCTTCTACATCCATGTAAGGGATATTACTGGCTTTGGCTTCGTCACAATGCTGTTGATCACCCAAGACACATACTTGCATTTTTGGTCGAGGGATATGTTTTAGTCTAAAAGTTAAAAAATGAAAATAATTTTGTGGTATAAATAACGTAACTATTTTTTTTTCTCTTTTTAACACCGAGACGGTTATTTGCCCACGCATGAAACTTACCAGAAGGTGGGCATATTCGTCACTTCTGTTATAATGAAATTTAGGTATAATTTGTTCGATGTTATCGAGTATACTCGAAAGCATCTCCCCAGTTATTTTAAGACCCTGGGTACAGGTCCGCCGTATATTCACGGCTTCCTGATGTAGCGAACTATCTGTAGAACGACTCTTCATTCGTATAACCTACAAATAGTTCGCAATCAGGTTACGTACTTGACGGTTCCGCTGAAACGCTTGTCCTTTTGGGGATCATAATTCTTCAGTCCTATTTGGATTTCCACCGTTTCCAGGAAGTTTCTCTTCTTTTCCTTAGAATGGTCCAACACCGAGTTGACACATTCATACAATGTGTCTCGTGAAACTTTCGACCTAAAACAGAATGATTCTACTTAGCAGCATAAAAATATTAATTAAATGGGAATATACAATTACTGGCAATATAAAATGCTTGCCTTTATAGAGTTTTTATGCAGGGATGATTGAAATAATTAAAATAATACTTACGTCATTATAAATTAGGTGTTTACGACACTAAACACGAATATGGAAAAGACAGCAGCAGCGAATCGAGCACTGAACGAAAATGAAAAAGATGTCAAATCAAAATTGTCAAATGTCCATGATTTGGAAGAGGGAAGGAAGGATGGGGGTAACTAATGTTGCCAACCACAAACACAAATCATGGAACATTAATGACAAGCGACATAAAATTCATACATTTTATTATCTATCTATGATAACCCCAATCGGCACGAGAAACGAGAGCCAAAGATTTTGGACCTTCCAGTTTGGCTGCAAATTTTAGGTCGCCGGTTATATGCTTGACCACGCCATCTGCATTTTTTAGCATGGTTTAAAAATAAGAGTACAGTATTTCTATGTTAACATTCTATTCTATGAAAATTGAAAATATCAATCCTGTAAGAACAAGATTATACTTTGAAAAATTTGAATGGTGTGTTTCAGTATTTTCTATAATTTTAAGACATTAGAACTTTAGAATTCCAAAGTTTCAAACCAGCACTGGAGATTTCTAGAGCCTTCTTACCGATATTTATTTTGATAGCTGATTGCTGATTGGCTGAGCTTAGTGTTGACCAGTTGACAGCAGAGAAATATTCGTTTACTGTTTGTGGATTTGCAGAAGGAATTATTTTTAAATATAAATAAGTGTGCTTCTCTACCAAATTTGAAAAATTTTAATATAAGTTTCAAATTGTTTTTATGGACCCAAATTGTGCAAATATGACAGGAGAACCTAACCAAGCAAATCGCTCTTCTGTATTTGGATTTGATCCCTACCCACCTCCATACGTAAATTGGAGTCAACCAGATGTTTTTACTAACCCAGTCACACAGTTTCGGCCTGGACCAAGTCTCCAACAACCGCAACTATGTATGCCGAACACTGGTGGGCCATCATTTCCAGTACAGGGTCTGCCAGAACAGCAAGTTGGTATACCAAATGCAGTTCCTCAATTTACTATGACGTCTTTACCCCAGCAACAAGTCAATTTTTCTTTTGGGGCTCCCAGGCCAACACAGGATGTTGTGCAGTTCCCTTTTCAAATCGCCTGCCATGGGTTTGGCCAGAGGACCATTCCATCCATTCGATGCAAAAGAAAGACTGATTCACCACCGTAAGTTATTTAACAGTAATCGACTGTTTCTTTGGTTGAATTACAGCTAAAGCATGAAATGGGCTTTCAAGCAATTTAAAATATAATATATATTTTTTGTTTCATTACTCTAAATCGATCTAGATCAGTATGTTTTAGACTAGAAACTTATATGGTTTTTTAATGGTATTCGACAGTTCATGTTGTGACTTTTTGAGGTATTTGTCATTACTACGTTTTTATTGGAAACATTTTTTATCATATACCTATTTTAATGGTATAAATTTTCCTATTTTGTCTGTTTAACATTTTTTGTTTGTACCATCACATTGCTTATTGATGCATATATCTATAATCCAATAACTTAAATTATTTTTTTGTTACTAAACTCTTATTTTAAATGTACATGACGTCTTGAATAAAATTATTGGCTGATTTTATTATCGTTTTGCAGTTTACAACCGGTAAAGCAACATATTACCGAAGAGAAAATGGCGGAACATATGTCCAAACTTCACATAAGTTCAGAATCTGTCGGGTCTTCGAAAGAATCCGATTCAGATCGAACACAGAGGTTATACATGTGCGAAGAGATGCGGAAATTACAGACTGACTCACTATTGCCTCAAAGTCTGATAGCTCGAATACAAAGACCCTGTACAGCTTTAGTCTTGTGGAAACCACCAACGAGAATTTTACCATTAGTAAATAATGATATCGATGAAAATGAAAATAATAACGAACAGCAACAACCCGATAATAATGTACCGAACGAATCCGAAATGGAGAATGATCTAAATAATATGGATATGGATAATTGCTAGGAATTTTAACTAGTGGTTTTGTAAAGACTGATTTTAGAGGTAATTCAAAGAAGTGTCATTTGTTATTTCTATTTAAGTGAAAAAACATATTAAAATATGACGAAGCTCAAACATGGCATAGCCCGTTTCTGTTTAATATCAAAATTGCTTAAATTTATGTTTTTTTTATGTTGTATTTAATTAAGTACTTGCTAATAAATATAAAACATATGATGTTAAGTGCTTTAAATCTCAAATATCGGAGAGAGATAATTTTTTTGCATTTATTTCTGCATTCTCAGTTGAAACTTACGGCTAGTTCAAGCAGCATGATCTGTGTAAACCTCATATAAGAGAAATCAATGCTCACTATTGGTTGGATAGTGACATCGTAGTCGTAAAGATGTTTGGTAGTTTAAACATATTTAGGTTGTTTTTTTTTTCAGCTGATTGTCTCAAACGTATCCATAAGAAAGTGGTAGACGTAAATAATTGACAATTTAATTATTTGTCAGTTGAAAAAATTGCCCTTAAACGATAAAGTAACCAATATACTTCTTGAATTCACTACAGCATGTGTACTGTAGGTACATGCAATGGTTTCTGAGATTTCTAAAAAAATTCCAACTAACTACATGTTCTGCTGTTGACAGTATTATCAGCTTTTTTAGAAACAAAAAGAGTTTCCATGTGATCATTTTTTCGGAAATACGTTTTGCCTCTTCAAGTTCAAGGCAACAAAATTTAAAAAAATTTCAATGTTAAATCCGAGTCGTTATCAAAATCATTACCATTAATACTTTTTCAAGACTTTTTGTTGAACTCTTCACAACGTCCTTTCACAAAAACCCTGTCACTTTCTGACGAAATCTTTTCTATATCGTATATTACGTAATGTCACTGCTTATCAAGTCTCTGCTTGCAACGCACACAGTTCTCAAAAATGTCATCCTGAATATTATGTTTCCTAGCATCTTCGAGAGACTTCTTCTTCTTTCACTTGACCGAAACTGTCTCGTAGTTACCACTAACTTGTTGTTTTTACCTGTAGATTTCTCCCTTATGCTGTTATAGTCAAGATACCATTTTCGTCCTGATGAAAATGTACAGAAAACTTAACGTCTCCAGCATGTTTTTTTAGAATGTTCGTAATTGAGAACTCGCCTAATTTATTGTTGTAAATTGTGTTTTTTCTCTCCCCTTCATAATTGTAAATGTTGTTATACTTTGATTATTAAAAGACGTTACTAAGTTACGGGAAACCTCAATTGGCAAGCAAGAATTTTTGAGCGGTTGAATTTAATTTGTAAACTTGATTATATTGTGTAACTAATGACTTCTGAACTTTAAGCAGAACTTTTTAAAAAATATCTGCCCATAGTATTACAAACCATTTTTTTACAACTTGATTGCGCCTTGAACTAGTTCGTAGTTTTGTAGCGGCATTTTGAATTTATTGAATTTATTGTGAAACGAAACTGATGTTATTATTCTCTTACTCTGAGAAGTGCCAACATCATCTGTAATATAAAAAAAATGCTCATGAAATTATGTAATGCACTGCATGTGGCACATGTACAATGTCTGAATATTATTTTAAAACTCGTTTAAGTATTAAGTATTTTGTCTAAAATTAATCTTAAGATTTTTCGGATCTATTTAAGTAATGGTTTTTAGTAATAATTTTTTCTAAATATAAAATTTTTTAAATTGAAACTATTTACTAATTTTCAAGGAATTGTATATCTTTGCATTTTTAATATAGAAAATTGTACATATTTTAAATTAAAAGAGATGTATAAATATTTTATAGAAAATATTAATAAACCATCATCTATTTTCTTCCTGAAGAAGTGACATATCAATCATATAAATATTTTTTCATAAAATGTATTAATATAAAAAGGAGCTTTTTTTTAATAACCATAAGAAAATTTAAAGAATGTTCCAAACTCATTTCTCCAGGAAGACAATTATTTCATCTTTATTCCTTCCAATATTTAGTTTCTTCAGTTTTATCCTCGCCAAGAATTCTGTTATCCAGAAGAATTCACTTACTAAATTTGTCCTAAATATATTTATGTTTAAATCGGACCTTGACAAAGTTAATTTATTTAGGTTTGTTCCAATAACATTCTGGGACTAGTTTGAACCTTAATTTCTTGAAAGTATAAGTTGGAACAAATTTTTGCTGTGGATGGTAGTTCGTGATTAATTTCAGTCTTCTGATGAATTTAATGCTTTGTGTTTATTTAATTATTGCTGGAATTACCTATTACTGGATATCCAGTCATTGAGTATAAGTAGTGTAGCTCATAAGACCGAATGTATTATTTTTCTTCAAGTTCAAGCATTTTAAATGTTCAACATTAATCTTACTGCATTCTGTTGGTGATTTTGTAGTTTCGTATATATTTTTTTATAATTTTATATATTTAAAGTGTCAAAGAGAAGATAATTAACGCAATTCTTAGTCGAAAAAGTTAATTTAGATTGGATTCAAACAATTAAAACACTAACATTTCAATTGCATGTTCAATTTTCACCAATTACTTAATCACAAAAAGTTAAAAGAATAGGAAAATATTAATTCTTCCAAACTTTTTCACTAATATTCTTAGATTTTTTAAATTAGTGTTTTGTTTTTACCTTTCGAAGTGCCTAGTAGATGAATATATAAACAGTTCATGTACCATAAGGGCGCTTGTAAACGACGGTTTTTTAGCTCTTTGTAAGCCCGGTGAATCCACCCTAAATTCAATAGATTCGTGGATTCACCGGACTTACAAACGGCTAAAAAAACATCGTTTACAAGCGGCCTAACCATGTACAGATTTTATTATTCAGATAATATCGTGCTAATACAAAATAATGCCCAAATAAATCCTTAAATAATGGCGAAAAGTTCATTGTATTTTTTATTTAACATTTTATTGGCTTGCAATAAACACAATTACTTCTCTTTGATAGTTTGACAATTTCTGTTGAAATACCTCATAATCATGCTGCCACTTTTAAAATAGTGTTTTATTTTTATATTTTTCATAAAAATGTGATTTTAATGTGCTTTTTGTATTTAGTATTAACTGTCGTGATCTACTTTGGTTTAATTTATTAGGCCTTCGTTTATTAAAGTTTTTATTACAATCTGGTGTTTTTATTTTTTGAAGGGGGTCAGCTTTAAAAAAAATATTGTTAAGATTATAACAGGTTTGCGATTTTTTTCCATTTTCTTTAAGGGTGATTTCTAGACCTATATAGAGAATTTTGTAAAAAGCTTTAAAGAAATTTTCAAAATAAAATTTTAATATAGAGGTGGTAAACCCTGACATCTCGAAAAGGATTGCACTTTTGTTTGGTAAATATGTTTCTTATAATGAACTGATAAATTTAATAAAACAACTTTTTGCAAGCTGTCAGTCATGCACATTTTTTTTTCACTTATTTTAAACCGATCGTATACAATCTCAGTTTCTTTTTTGATTTGATGCTAAAATCGATGAGGTAATGGCCACTTAGATACTTTAGGTTGATATAATATATTTCCGCCAAAAGAATCTGTATTTTTCATATTTATGCATTGGAATGAACATAGAAATAAATAAAACTATCCAGTATGACAGCTGTAAGAGTGGATTTATTTTATGCGTTTGGATTCCAATGTCTTTCACATTGACAGAAACCCTAGCTAGAACTAACGAAAAAACGCCCTTAAATTTTGTTTTTTGGTTGTCAATTAATGAATAAATAAAAATGAAGGAAGCCATTATAAATTAACATTGTATAATTAAGAATTGGAATTACATAAATTTTTATTCATTCAAAATTGCAGTAAATGATTGCACGAATTACTGACTTCATATTTCATATTATACTTTAAATAACAGAAAAAGCATAATTCTGCACTGATTCTGCATTATCTATCCACTTCCCAACCTTTACTTGATTATGTATGTATTTCATTCTCTATGTTTATAGAGCATTATGTAACATACATTTTCCATACTCTTCGCAGCTGACTGCCAGCGCATGCGTGTACTTTAGTTTGAAAATCAGCATGGAAGTCGGTGTTCTGGGTGGTGTAATTTTTTACATGAAAAACACTAATTTAAAGTACCCCCAGTGTATAAAAGTGTTCCCGTTGTAAGTGAAACATAGACTAATTCCCGTTATGAATCAAAACGATGTATCCATTTATCTATAGCTACGCTTATTGTCGGTAAGTGATTTTGTTATTTATTATTGTTTATAAAATAAACCTGCCAAGTATTCATTGATATGTGAGCATTTAAATTTTAGAAAATTGCCGCGCTCTTGCCGGCAAACAAATTAATTATGAATGGTTTGATACTTGTGTAGTTGTAGGTTATCTTTTTGACCTAGATATTCTTTCACTTGCCTTCTAATATATTGTGGTAGGTACGCTTTTAATACACTTTAAAAACATTGCTACTAAATAATCATACCTGATTTATAAAATTATGTGGCTAAAATAAGTCACGCATGCATAGCCTAGAGAAAATTCATCAGCCATGAATAAACAAAAGGTTACTGTGTACGTCCTATTGGATTCCAAACCAGAAACAGCTGACTGATCTAATTTATTTAGCCAGAGGGAAAAGTTATCTCTGTTTAGTAGCAGAGGGTAGTTTAAAGGATGTATCTATTTGCTTAAATAATGGCTCGATTTATTTGTGCTCACACATCTTTTTCTTTTGTTTCCCGGATATTTCCCTTATCTCTAATTCTATTCTTTTCTGCTTCACCAGTTTTATTTTCTTTTATTTGACAATCATTTGTCTTTACGACAGTCAACTTATATGTAAAGGCAATCCAATTTGTTTTCCAGTTTTTTGTTCTTTTGCGGCGAGGGAGGCTTCTGTATTTTAGTTTAAGCAAGTTCTGTTTTATCGGGAAGCAAAAAGTACTCTCACATCGCAATGTATTTACGATATGATAAATATATTTAAATGAGTAGGTAAGTATGACTTTTTTATATAATTTATCAAGGATGAATACTGTTCATTTTAATTAACGTTTGACACTCGATTTGACACTAGACATTATCTGATTGATTCTAATGTACCTAACTGTTTCTATTACCTAAAATATTTATGTAGGTGTAAATTTAAAATAACTAGTTTGACATTGACTTATACCAAGGCTCATACAAAGAAAATCAAATAGTATTTTGTATACCTAGGACGTTTTTTGGACAGATTCTCCCGCTTTTTATGCTGCGGGTTTTTAATAAATCTGCAAATTATAATGCTCATAGATTTTTTTTTAGGTTTAGTTTTAATTTTGCAGTCAAAATTTCATTAGGATATGCACATAATGTGTTGGCAGGCAATCTTTAAAGTTTTGCTTTAAAGTTTTGAAATTTTGATTTTATCATGATTTGCCGTGGAAATCAATTTTCGGACGTGCTTATATTAAAAAAAATAGGGGCTGGGGTTAACTGTGATAAACCCTGGTATATTTTTAATTGTTGAGTTAATAGCTAATTTATAAAATTATCTATCAATAGATTCCTGGCGATTGGTCCTTCCCTTGAGTGTTTACTTTTTTGATCAGAGCTACTCTTATCCACAAAAGGGTACTAAATTCTGGACGATCTTTGTATTTTTCTGTATCAAGCGTACAAGTCCCGTGTGTGCTATGCAGGAAAAACACCCACCTGTTTATGTTGGAACTATTTAATTAAAAGTTGATGAGATGAGGGTTAATACCGTCTTGTGTTACCGTGTAACATTAACAGAAGCTCAATTAGTTGAAGGAACCTGCAGTACGACTACCAAAGTAAACAGGCCCCTACTAAAACTAGCGGATTTAATTATTCCCGAGTTAGATTTACTAACTGGCAGAGAGGAAATGAAGCTCTTTAGTAAAATTGCATTTAAATTGCTGTTTTTCTGTGGGCGATCTCCTTTATAAAGAACGTGTGAGATAAACTGCCTCCCGGCTCCAGTATTTCCTTGTTTCAAATTGCATGGGATCCAAGAACTACACGGTATCATTTTTTAGATAGAAAACGATGGAACGGAGGGGAGGAGGGGGGCAGGGGGTGTAAAATTAAATTGCGAGGTTCCCCTCTTCTACTTTGATTAAATTTTTTATTTTTGTAAAATAAAGTAATATCGTTTACCCATTAGTAGAAACTGAAAACGCGAAATCCCTAGAAAAAAGAAACGAGTGAATGTCATTTCTCTATCCTGGTATGTACAACAGCCGACATATTCGATTAAAAAACTTTTTTATTTCAAATAGAAGGTTGTGAATAACATGACATGTTATTCTTCACTTGTCACTGTACTTCGTTATCGATAAAATTTCCAGATTTCCCCTTTTCTGCTTCTTAATCTTTGATGTTATGTTTTTAATAATAATAAAAATTTTTACTTTCCTTATAAATCAAGTTCAACAAAATGTTTAAGAATCGTAATAACAACAATTTCCAAAATAATGCGCATCAATTTTCTTTATAAACGAATTTCCCTAAATTGACTTCTGGGCCACCTCTAACGCCCTCTCCAGCTTGGCAGTCACTTAGCCGGCAAACTTCTAAATGGCCTTAGGCAATCCAGCAATTAAAATTTGAATAAGTAAAATCCGACTCCCGAAAGTCGCCGAACAGATTCCTAATTTTGTTAATCCGTACATCGAGAACAATAATTTTCCTTAATGGTCAGCAACTGTTAGTAACGACGCGTTCCAAAGTTGGTAATTGGAAAAATTAAAGCTGATATCCGGAGAAAATAATAAGGGAACCGGGTCGTTAGTACCGTCAGAAATTGGGTTGGATTTCTCTCGTTCGTCGCGTCTGAGATTTATGTGTCAATTAATCCAATTTTTAATCAGACTGTGGTTAGAATTATAAAAAAAATGTGCAATGCCAAAGCCCCCATCCCAAAATGTGTCAAACGAGGTATCAAATAATGCATTATTATAATATTTATTTGTAGCATATTTTAAATAGTTTTCTTTTTTGACAGACGCCCCAAAAGTGTGTTCCTTTTCAAAACTGCAATTCAAATTGGAATAAAATCTATACCAAAATTGTTTTATACTGAAAAAATCTCTTATCAAGAATAATATAATAAATTTGAATTAGCTTAGTGTATTTATGTAATATAAAGTATTTTCTAAAAAATATTACAATTCCCAGTGCATGTGGTACACACACACAGGAGTAACTTAATCCACAAGTTAAAAATATTGGTAGTTTGCGAACGATTTGCCAAGAAACTGATAATCTAAATAGAATTACAAATCGGTATTTTTTTCAAAGAATAAAGATTAAAAATAAAATATATCTGTTACCTAAATGTGTTTTTGCTACCGTAGCCAACTGCCAATTCAAGTTGGTAAGGTATATTTGAATGTATCAGCCGGATGTCTAATTTTACAAAGGTAATTTTCTTATTATTCGTTATTTAACAAATCATTTTACACAGGGTTTTTTTAACCTTGTAGATTTAGAGATAAATAATATCAAAAGTATATAAATTTTTCGGTGAATAAGATTTTCATTAAAAAATTCCTAATATGATTTTATTTATAATTTACATTCGATACATAAAAGGACAGGATATTTTATAGTCTCTTCTTGTAAAATATGTATGTCAGTTCATTGGTCAGGAGAGAATGTGTATAGACGTCGTAATTTATCCTCTACACTCCAGGAAACTACATTCACAGTGTTAAAATATCGGCCCCAATGTATACAGTTTACTTTTTAGAACTGCAATGTAATTTATTTCCTTCTTCCTTTTAGTTTGTGTTTTGTATGGCATTTTAATAGATACAAAACTCTCTTGCAGGTTACATTAAATGTATTTGAATTACGTAGTTGTTAATTATTGGTGTCTGTCATCGTTAGATGGCCTCAAAGTTCGTGAGAATTTTTTGAATTTTCTAAATACCTAACTCGAATACGTGTTATTCGATTTTGATCATTTGGGGTGTATACTTTTGCTTTCAATCTACACATTTTGGTGCTATACAGAGTGTTTTTTAAATTATTCAACTCCTACAAAATTAATGTAACCTTTACCGTTTTGATATTCGTGTTGAGCGACCCCAAAATTCCCGAGGTAACGAGTTTTGGCTAAGTTTATAACGAATTTCCACAAAACTCCAGGAGACGACGTGGAAACCGGCTACCCTGGGCACTAGGTACCTCGGAGATGCAATTTTAAAAATGCATTTTTCTTATGCACCGATGCAATTTTCATTTCTCATTGATCACATAGGGTCACAAACTTTCTGGAAGCTTGAACGAATCAAATGCAAAAAACTGCGTCACGATCCATCTTACTGCACAGATTTCGGAGGTAAGGCCGTTTTTAGTGCTTTATTTCCTCGACTATTATTAATCAGAGCTAATACAGGTATGTGGTTTATGCATGATGGTGCTCCACCACATTTCATTGTAAATGTCCGGCAGTATCTGAACCAAAGATTCCCTCGTCGATGGATGGGTAGAGGGGATAATGTTCCTGTTAAATAGCCTGTACGTTCACCAGACTTAACACATTGCGACTGTTATCTTTGGGGCACTCTGAAAACAACAGTCCTTAAGGACTGCTAGAGGTGTTGTTTTAAACATTTTTTATAAATTGTATTAAATTTAATAAAATCTAATTTCTTCCTTTATCTCCAGCATTTTTTATTGTATTTGTTTGTTTTTACGAATAATTTCAATAAAATTTGTAAAATTTTCAATAACGTGTGGTATATCTTATCATAGTAAACACTCATTAAGAATTGGCAGGTATAACGACATAAAGATCAAACTGAAATTACAGTCAACCTACAAAGTCAGTAACTATTAGCACTTTGTTAAGTATCGTAATATGGGTAGCAAGATAATGTAGACATTTAAAAAATATTTTTTTGTACCCAAACGGTTCATTTAATCAAAATTCTATAAGAGGCCCAAAAACTTCCAAATGGTATCACCTATCAAATAAAAAAACAGTTGTCATTATTGCCCGAAAGAGAAAAAAGTTATGAACGGATATTACCACCATACATCAATTTTGTAAGTGTTGTGAGTTTTAAAAAACACTGTATAATACCAACATTTGTAGATTGAAAGCAAAAGTCCACACACCCAAAAATAATCAAAATCAAATAATAGGTACGTATTCATAAAAATTTCACGAACTTTGAAGCCATCTACCAGCTAAACGTAGTGACTTTGGATATAACCTA